CCCCATGCCCAAGTTGTTTCTACCACCGCGGCCGTCAGACTGGGCTTTCTAACCGGAAGGCTGATGAGGGCTCCTCGGCCCTGCGCATCAAGTCAAGCTCCCCAAAGCAGGGCCCTTCCCGCTCACTCTCTGTCTTACCTCCCCAGCTCTCCGGCTTCATTGAGGATCCTCTCTGGAGTCTCTCATTTTCCTTAACAGGATATGCTCCTGAGTCCAGACTTTGCTGTTCCTCTACCTCATGACTGCTGGACCAACTCACCGTCTCTTGCAGGACACACAGGAGCCCCCTCCCTGTTCCCTTAGAGTTAGCTACCTGCTTCCCTAACAGGTCATTGGCTTCCTCACTCCATCCCTTTTACCATATGTGAAGATGGTTGTGTGTGTAACGATTTGGGAGCAGGGCAGAGAACAGTTTGTATACTACTGCAAGTGGAAAATGTCATTGTTGGCTGTATTCAAGATGGCTGTACAGAGAAATATGTTGGAAGTACAATGCTTTAAATGAGAAGCGTGTGCCCACCTAAAACCCTATCTCACCCACCCATGGAACTTGCACCAGGGTACCACTCTGGGAACCCTTGTGATCCATTACCCCGTGTGTTCAACCACCAGAGTGCACAGTTCACAGCCTCTCCCTCTCCATTTCTCACCCCCAACTGGAGTTCCTCACCAGTGTTCATTCATTCATTCATTTATTCCTTCATTCACTACCTTTGCTGAGCACCTCCTCTGTGTCGGGCCTGAGTCAGGTGCTGGGGATACAGTGAAGAAAATCTGCCACCACCCTGCCCTCCTGGAGTTCAGAGTCAGAATCCAGTGGGAAGGATGGCTGTAGTTGCCCAGAGCCCTCCTGTGGGCACATCCTATAGACCAGGGCACACAGGACCCTCCCCCAACCTGGGAAATTAGCTAAGGAGCCCTCAGGTTCACTCAGCAGGGGCAGGCAGGGGAAACTGAGGTGCAAGCCAGACTGAGAATTGCCCTCGGGCTCTGGGGAGCAGGCCAAACTTTGCTGAGGAAAGAGGGAAGTGGGACTGAGTCCTCATCCCTGTGAAGCGGCCCTGGGCAGTGATGAGAATGGGGACCAGAGCAATGGAACAGACAGTCAAGGGAGCTCAGCCACCAGCAGACCATTTTGTTGCTTATTATGCGTGCTCTCTGAGCCACCATTGTCCTGCCTCAGCTGAGGAACCCAAAGACCAGACAGAATGAACAGCCTGCCCGGGGTCACTGGCCAAAGCCCATGGCATTTTCGTTATAGCTGCCTGTCTTCCAGCTTGAGCTAGACCCAGACTCTTGGAGAAACAAACTCCTTCCCTCTAAACCCTCTCATCCTTTACCTTGAGCCTGGAAATCCCCAGCCAGGAACCTTATCTGCCTAAGAGCCGGGAGGCTCCACCCCTGGCTGGTACCGCTCACCTGTCTCCCCAGGGCCAGAGGCAGGCTCCATAGGATGCTGGCCCACATTTGGGGGAAGAAGGGCTGAGCCTCATTAGCAGGACCTCGCTGGCCACCATCCTTCTTGGGATGTGGCCTAGAAGCCACGTCCAGCCTAACAGCTTCCCCTCCAATCTGCCTCTCACCTGGCTGGTAGACAGAAGGCCGGATGCTGGCGGTGGTGACAACTCGGGGCTTGGGCGCAGGGGCAGCTGGGGCCTCACTGTATGTATGAGTGGCAGGTGCCGGAGAGGTCGCCTTGGCGGGACTGTAGGCAGAGGCCTGGGGCCTGGAACCAAGGGGGGAGGAGTTAGCAGCTAGAAGGACAGCCCCACCCAGGCCCTGGGGCCTGCAACCCTGGCAGCCTGGTCTTCAGGAGCCTCTGTGAGGAGGAAACCTGACAGAAATGCTGGGGATTTGCCAGAGGCTGTGAAAGAAAGACCGTGGGGGTCTTAGAGGGGAGGAAGCTGCTCCTTGGGGGCTGAGTCTTCGTGAGTCTGGTTAGAGCCATATGGCCCATTGCTGGTGTCACCACCTTAGGAAAGAGGGAGGAAAACCACCAGCCAGACAGGAAGACAGACAGGAAACCCTTCACTTCCTGTGGAGAGACTACCAGGGTGAGGCTGGGGTTGGAGGGGCAGACGCAGGAGAGAGGAGACAGATGGAGGAGGTCAGAACTACCCTTCTCCCTCAACCTTCTGACCTCCTGGGGCACTTCACAGCCTCAGACCACTGGCCTCTTCATTCCCCTTTCTGCTGGTGCTGGAAGGAGCCGCCAAATCTCAGGTTTCTGGGTAAGAGTGCTCCAGAGAGGTCTCATGGGAAGCCAGGAGACCAGCCCCCCAGTATGTACACACACACACACACACACACACACACACACACACACAGGCTTCTCCTTTGCACAGCATTCCTGTTGCCCTCTCCCCACTGAGTAAGCTGCCAAGAGGTCTTAAAGCCTTTTCCCACTTGTGACCCAGGGACCATGGGACCAAAGTGATAGAGTGAAAGTGTCCCAGTTCGTTGCCCTCAGGAAATGCCGTACTTGGCCTTTTCCCTTGGAGAACTAAAGGCTCCAGGAACTGGAGTTAAGGGGCATGTTTGACTTTGTCTTATTCAGTGTTTCCCAATTTCGTTGTCAGTGAACAACTCCCCACCTTTTTTCATTTAAAGCTAAAGAACACCTTATTGAATACACCTTTGGCTTCTCCCTGCATCGTTCAGATCCCGTTGGGGACCACATATCCACACCCAGGGCAAATGGGTCATTGATGGGGATGCTAGAGAAGTGAGCCTCTGATAATATACCATCCTCTCCCAGTCCAAGGCTTCCTGCCTTCTTTCCAACTGTTCCCCACGGGCCCAAGTGCTGGGAAGAGTCATAGGATCAGGAAGTAATTTCTTCTCCGGAGCTCTGGGAGGGGGTGGCCCGGAGCTAAGGACCCACTGCCAAGCTCCTTAGTGGATTCAGAAGGGTGTGTAGTGCTGCTCAGACAGTATGGAGGTAGAATGAGCCTCAGACAGCCAGTATCCCAGACCTAGGGGGTGTGCAGACTTACCGGGCCAAGTTATCATGTTTCTGGTTGGGTGAAGCCATTGTCTCCCCTCCCTGGGCCTGTCTGCTTCTCTGATAAACCACAGTGGAGCAGGGGCCTCAATGGAGGAGAAAGAGGCAGTGTCGAAGGGGTGCCCAGCTTCCACTGCGGTGGGAGAGGGCTGAGGGTCAGTGGGGCTTAGCCAGACTCTCCCACCAGTGGAAGAAGATTTCCCAGCAGCCCAGGAGCTACAGGTCCTGTGTCCAGGGTTGGTGTTAGGGGAGGAATCAGAGGCTTATGACATCTAGCAAGGACTCTGAGGCCATGCCAAGAAAGGCTAAGGTGTCCATTTGCCCCCCACTGGCTTCCTCTAGCTCCATCCCAGCCTTGTGTAAGATAGGGAGGTAGCTGGTGTGGTCCCTGGGTTCCTTCTGCTCCAGCCTGATGCTGGGAGCCCTCCAGGTATCTCTCCAACCTCCACCCAGGCCTCATCTCCCTTTGCAAGGCCGAGGAAGAAGGGTTTGCCCTGTTGAGGGAGTCCTGAGGGCCCCAGGCCACTGAGGACACCGAGGCCTGAAGCATAGTGCTGGAGCTTGTCCTTAAGCAGGGCCCCAGCATCTAGAGCTTCTCCATCCAACTGGGGAGGCACCTTCCCACTTAACAACAGGGACGTTTCTTACCCTCTTCAAAGTTTCTTCTTGGTGCCCTTAGCTGAAGAGGTCCTGATGTGTAGAGGGGGAGCAACTTGCTAAGTGACCCCAGGAAGCTGGAATAAAACAACCCCCGGAGGCCCAGACTGGGCTTACCCTTGAGGCTTGAGCTGGGCTGGGCAAAGGCTGGGCTTGGCACCACCTAGGTCCTTGTGAAGCCTGGGGGTAGGGGTGCAGCACACAGGTCTGCAGGCCACTGTGCCCACCCTTTATCCTGTCTCAGGCTGTGCCAGGGATTCATGAACCCTGATCCAGAGAAGCATGTCCTTTCCAGCAAAACCCTGGGAGGGGAGCATGGGAAACTGAGAAAGCTGGCTGTTACCTCAAACACCAACTTGACAGCTCCATGAAGCCCAGAAAGAGCTGGGCCTGTCCAGCTATTACACTTCCTAGCCATTCCAGAATGACTCATCCAGCCTGCCCCCTGCACCTCCCCACACCTCCCTGCATCCTTTGCAAACTGCAACCCCCACCCACCCACTCCCACCATCCCCAGCCCTGCCTTTGCTGGGTATCCAGGAGGTCAGGTTGAAATGCAGTAACTCATAATACTCGAGAGAATTCTATATGCTAGGTGATTTATGTACACTTTTTCTGTCCCAACCCTAAAAAAATAGATGTTGTATTAAATATCTTAGCAGATGAGAAACCTAGCTTCAGAGAAATTAAGTCACTTTCTGTAGATTACAGACAGTAAGCGGTGGAGCAGAGAGTTACATCCCATGACATCGGGTGCCTCTGGAGTTAGCCTGCTCTCCATCAAGAGAAGAGAGGGTAAAGGAAGAGGGCAAGTTAGTGCTAAATATCTGCCCAAATCTGATCTACCTTACCTACCAAGGTCAATGCTACATCTGCTCCCTCCTCCAGAGAGCCTGTCTTGACTTCCCCGGACCACAAGGACAATTTTCATTCTCCCCCTTATTCTAGTTCCAGGAACAATGACTGTGCACAAAGTCTCTCTTTGTTATCTAATTGCATGCGTGCATGTGTGTGTGTGTGTGTGTTTGTGTGTGTGTGTGTGTGTGAGAGAGAGAGAGAGAGACAGACAGACAGACAGAGAGACAGAGAGACAGAGAGAGGCACTAGGGGGCCAGGCAGCGCATTCCAGTCTCTGTGCTGCACTGCACACAGTGTGCTCCCCTGCGGTGACTCCCAGTCTCCCCTTCACTCTCAGCACCAGGCAGTGCTAGGTTTGGCTTTCCAAGGACCCCGGGGTCCTAACCACCTTGCACAGACTTTTCTGAGGGCTGGATACAGTTGCCAACAGGTGGACTCAGGTTGAGGACTTTCCTGCCTCCCTTCCCTGAGGTCAGGGTCGGCACCTGTGGGCCCGTTACCTTGGACTGTCCGCAGGGCTTGAGGCAGGGGCTACAGCAGAGGCGGTGGCAGCATGGGCAGTGGCTGCGGTCAAGGGTGGTGAGGCCGCACTGGGAGGGGCAGCAGCAGGCAGCTGGGCAGAAGCGGGCAGCAGCGGGGTGGTGGCCTGGCTGGTGCACACTGGAGCATGCTCAATAGGGGTGCTGATGAGGCGGGACCGAAAAAGACAACAGGTCAAGGGGATCCTCTGTATGGGGATGGTGGCTGCAGCAGAGGCAGGCTGGGTGGAAATCACCATCCATTCTGTAAAACGAGCATGATCTTCCGGTAGGCGTGTTTCCAGCCTCAGGGAAAGAGCCTCCCAGGACCCCAAGAGGGAAGGGCTCAGAGCACTTGGAGGGCCACAAGAACATCAAAAATATTCTCAAGCCTGGTGAGTTTCCACACACACCACCATTTTTGTGGGCTTCCTAATTTTGCTTTCTCTGTGTATATTATAAAAACACAGTGTGGTGGAAAAGTAGATTGAAGTATCAACCAAATTTCCTCCCCCATCCTGTTTTGCTTTTTCTTTTGCCCTTCCCCATTTAGTTAGAAGCATGCATTGCATCTGAGAAGGAATGATACAAGGCACAAACCAGAGGTAAGATATTTGCACATCAAGGGCCTAGGCTGTGGAGGACCCAGGGCACTGAAAGCATTTGGAAGAGGGATGAAAGCTACCTGCCAGGAAGATCAAGGTCATCTGAACCAGAAAGGAGGCAATGTGGAACGAAGGATTCAAGAATAGAGGTAGCTGTGCCCCTGTTCTGGATAAATCCTGGGGAAGTAGCAGGACCCCAGGGGCCCTCATGCCCATGGTGAAGGGGCAGGCCGACCCAAGACAGGCCAAAGATCCCCAGGCCATCATCAAGGGCTTCCCATACCCCAGGGTGACATGGACATGGTACTGAGTACCTGCACATCCTAGAAGCCTTGTAACTGGGAACAAGAGAGGTCACAGCTCTTCCAGTGTAGACCAGCGTATCCTCACGGGTTGGGAATATCCCAGCAGATGGCAGCACAGGCAGACCACTACCAAGGACCAAATGCCCACGTGCCCAACCCCCCCCCCACCCCCGCCCCTTGACATCCTGTAAATGCTTCATCCCCAGAAATACTCCAGGCAAAAAAGAGCATCAGAGCCTGGGGTGATGGGATTAGATTTCTGCCATCTGCAAAGCAAGGCAGAGACTAAAATTTAAATTATAGGCAAGCAAAGAAATGCACATTCTTTGCTCATTGGGGTCTTTGGACTAAGATTTGTACTTGCTACAACAGCGGCAGGATATGCAGCGCCTGCGAGTAGAAATGACCTTGCCCGTCCTCTGTAATTCATTTATTGAACTCATACTACGTGCCAGGTATATGTCTTTAATTCCTCACAACAACCCTCTGATTATTGACTCTGCTTAATAGACGAGAGAATGGAGACTGAGAGAAATCAATCGCTCAACCTCCTGGAACTTATTGGCAGTGACAGAAGGATCTGAGTGAGGTGCCTTTGGATTTGAAGCCTTACTGGCTACTTCAAGTGGCCCCGGATGGAGGAAGAAAGACATTTCTTCTTGTGACTAGTCAAGTAGAAGCTTTCGCCAACAAAACACACTCTTATTTGAAAAGAATTCAGATACTAATCTTCCCTCTGTGAGTGTTTACTGTATGCCAGGCCTTGTGCCAAACAACTG